AGGAGAGGAGAGGAGAGGAGAGGAGAGGAGAGGAGAGGAGAGGAGAGGAGTCACAGCCCAGCATTCAAGCAGGATGCTGTTTTTTTAATGAAAGAAGTAGTAGCCCTCAACTTATGACCACAGTTGGGACCAGAACTTCTGTCACTAAGCAGTGCAGTTGTTAAGTGAGTCATGCCCAATTTTATGACCTTTTTGCCACGGTCATTAAGCAAATCACACAGTTGTTAAGCGAATTGACATTGCTTGTCAGAAGGTTGCAAATGGTGATTGGGTGACCCCAAGACACTGCAACCATTGTAAATACAGGCTGGTTGCCAAGCACCCAAATTTTGATCATGTGACTGCAGGAAGCTGCGATGGTTGTAAGTGTGAGGACCAGTCATAAGTCACTTTTTTCAGCACTGTCATAACTTCGAACGGTTGTCAAACAAATGGTTGTAAGTCGAGGACTACCTATACTGACAATTTTAGATCAATTTTATTACAGCCTTTAGCTAGCAAAGAACACTGACGATTGTTAGCAGTTGCAGATAGATAAACAGATCTGTATGGGCAAAGAATATATGAATACACACAATTCTTCCTCCCCCCCCAAAAGTAAACCCTAATAGTTAGTTTTCAGCTTATGAAAACTACAGCTTGTCCTTAATTTAACAACTCATATTCCCTTAAAGGTATATCATATTCTAGAAACCAAACAGCCATGAACACACAAATTGCATGTGTGTGTGTGCCTTTCTTATATATGGTACAGCGCTTCCCCCACCTACAACCAAATTCAATACTTCTATGACATTTACCTGCTGGCTCTTCAAGCATGTTGTGACTCAGGTCAAGGCACTCCACTTTGTGATTGGTCACAAAAGCATCTGCCAGGTATTTGACCGCACTGTTGTTTAATTCATTTCCTGAAAGTTTCAAGGCCACAAGAGTTTGATTTTCCCGAAGCATTGCAGACAGAGCTTCTGTCCCTTTCACTCCAACTCTATTCTCTGATAAATCAACTTCTGAAAGAGAAGAAGAAGGTTGATCTTTAGCTCGCTCACCATACAAGATCCCCCAGGCCCATTATCCCTACATGTCTTTGTCCCTCAATCCTTTCTTTAACCAGGAATGAAAGCTGGTCAAGGGCCACAGTTGGTTTTATGAATAATCCCTTGGAGAAGGATATTCCTCATTTCAACCCATCAAACGCAGAGTCTATATTTGGGGCAGCATATAAATGTTGTAAAATAAATAAACAAACATACAAGCCACCATTTCATTAGGAATCATTTTGCTCAGATTGTACAATGTAAAGATCAACAGGACTACATTCTTAAGACCTGTTTCAACATAATCTCAAGCTTTACTGCCACATCATCTGAAAAAGCAAAAGCAAATCCTTGCTTTTTAAAACTGGGAATTTTAGAAGAGATCTAACAATGATCTAGCAGTCACCTCAAAGTATCTCAAGGCTATGTATTACACGGACTCTCCATTTTGCCTCACTGCTGCTCTGAAGCAATTCTCAGAATCCCCCAATTAAGACATGCACCTGAAATATAGCAATTTTCCTTTAACATCTCTGCCAGTGCAACTGCTCCATTTCCATCCAGCCCGTTGTCACTCAGGTTCAACTTCACAATGGACATGTTGCTGGTCAGAGAAAGAGCGAGAGCTTTGGCTCCCTAAATGAAGAGACAGAAGAGGGAAGAGCTATGAGGGTAGGATATCTAGAACTAGCTCACGCAGCAGTTAAGGTTTGGAGTCCTGGGTGGGACAAACTGCAGCCCTGGGAGCTGACATGGCCTTTCACCTAATTTCACAAGTGGCTCTGCCAAAATTCAAAAGCCTTTAGCAAGTGACCTTTCTAGACCTCCAGCTGAGCAGCACCTCTCTTCCGCAGAAGCTGTGACAAGGAAGACAGAAAGAAATGAAGGGTCGGGTGCTGAACAAAGAGAGCCCCATCCAGTTTTGCCTTTAGCCCCACCCACCACTGGCTTCAGCTCACCTTCCAAAGACATGCAGTGCAGCTCCTGGTGGACTATTCCAGCAGGAACGCAGCTATGGACAGAAAAATGAGGTCACATCCCCTGATCTGCGGTCTGGAAGTAGGCAGTAAAGCTCTTCTGCCACAGGAGTGCATCTGGCCTCCTGTTTCCCATACAGGTCAAGCACAAACCTTGGGCACCTGCTGTCTTTGAACCCAGAAGTCCCATTTAGCTAGGATGGCTAGCCCTGGAGGCCTTCTCCGCCAGGAACTGGCCTGGCTCCTTTGGATCCTGTTTAAAGCACGGATCCATCCCACCTCTGGGGACAAACGGCCATAAACGAAACCGTGCTTGCTGAAAGTTACAAAATGAAGGACTGGAAGCAGCGGACCCCATCTTTTCCTCTGCCTGCTTCATCAGGGGCCCCCATCCGGCTCCCATCACGCAAGGCTTAGTGGGCAGCAGCCTCTGTGTCCTGACAGGAGACTGTGCCCTGGAAGACTCCCCGGAGCCCGCTCTGCTATCATATTAGTGCCAGGCAAGGATCTCTTCACCACTTTTAAGTCTTGTCATTTCAATTGGACTATTTTGTTTCTCTATTTTATGTTGACCAAACTGTTGCTCATGCTTTGCTACTAACAATTGATGTGTTGCTTTTTCTCCATAAGACACCCTGAACATTTTTAGTTTTGAAAGTAAAATTTAACAGAATACATCAGGCACAGGTGCTAGTGACACCTCCATACTTCTGCAACATGGTAGAGTCGGTACCATAATGCTACTTAAGTATTCCCACAAATAGTTCTGCAAAGAAAGGCGATATCTCTGAGTGCAATGCAGATGAAAAAAAGGAGGGAAGAGTGCTGAGAGGATATTGAAGGGCAGTAGGGAGATTCACACTTGCGGGGCACAGAGCAAGTCCCAACATGAAGGGGGCCAAAAGAAGAGGATGCCTGGCAGCGATTACCTTAGGGCTAAGGCCATGATGCGTCAGAGTCAATTCAGAATCTTTCATATGCCGTAAAAAATAAGAGACAGGGACAACGCCATACGCTTGGCAGATCTCAAGGTATCTGGCTTTCCCAGCAGGATCATAGCATATTGTAGACTCTAGGCCAGGGAAAAGGAAAAGTTAAAAGTCATGGTCATCCTTGGCTTTCTGTAAAACAACCAGACTCTTGAAGCATCTGTAATTTCTGGCAGTGCAAGAGCAAGATGACCTTAAAACCTGCAGCCCACAGCACTAGCCCCACCAACCATCCCAAGGTGAGACATGCCTGGCCCAGCAGTCTTGAACGCAAAAAGTGTAGAAGGGGTAATGACATTCTCAGAGTAATTCACCAGTTTGGTGTGTTTGTTTTGAAATTAAAAAGAGCGCACCAAAACAGCACAATATTGAAAATGGCCACCAACCATTACTTGATTTAAAAAAGAATACACACATTCATGGAAGCCAGGCTAATTATTATTGACCAAGCTTTCGGAGGCAGAGTATTCATTGCTCAGACTGCAGGTTGGTAACACAAAGCATGCAGGTCCTAACATTCTGCAGCAAGGCATCAGATACCCAGAATTAGAAAAACAGGAATTAAGAATTATCAGTGTTAATGAAAGAGTGACCAAAGTCTCATGGGCTTGTTTAAGAGTAACATCAGGTTGATGGGGAGGGGGTACCTGATGCTTGAAAAAGTTGCCAGCTTAGGCCCTGGGAGCTCTTGATTTGTTATATCCTCCCTTTACATCAGTAGCTCAAGGTGGCTTACGCAGTGCTCATTCCTATTTTTACCACAACAATCCTGTGAGGTAGGTTGGTCTGAGAGAGAATGAGAGAAAGTCACCCACGGAGCTTCTACAGCTGAAGATGAACTAAACATTCTCAGGTTCCCCTGGGTCTACTTCAGTGTTTCTCAGCCTTGGCAACTTTTAGACATGTGGACTTCAACTCCCAGAATTCCCCAGGCAGCATAAAGTCGCCAACATTGAGAAACACTGGCCTAGTTCAACAGTGTATCCTGTCTAACCTTCTATTTCAAGGTCTGTGTCCCACTCTTCCTCTTGATCATCTTCTGCTTCTTCTTTCTCGGCTTCTTCTTCAGAATAGTTTGACACTTTCTCCAAGAAGCAGGCGCTGCTCTCCCAAAAGATGGGTTCTGATATATCAGGGGTCCTCGAAAAAGCCTGATATAATACCGTGTCAAGATACAGGAACATATGAACATACATAATTCTATCCAAAAGAAGTAATGATACAGAAGTCCAGCTAACAAAACTCTTGAAAAACAAGATTTTTTTTTTTTCAAACTAGCAACTGCAACCAGTCAGAAAAATCAGCACTTTAGAAACCAAAATAAGCTATATGGGTTTCTGTCAAGGCAAGTTGGGAAAAATACAGGATGTAGAATAATTAATAGACTCTCAATATTCCAATGGAAATACTGAATACATTGGAAATATTCAAGGGTTTTCCCCCCTTTATTGCTAATGTGATTAAGGAGTTCATTTAGTAATTACATCACTTTAAGTAACCTTATCTTAGGAATTTATAAGCAACCCAATAACTAAGTTTGCAACGTGACTGTCTGAAGATGCTTCTACCTCCCAACAAAAACGAAATGCCAAACTAGACGCTAGATTAGGAAAATTGCACCACCGTTTTCATTCCAGGATACAAGACCGTCAAAGGAATTCCACATGCCTCTCCCAGGGACAAGCCAGGTTCCCATTGCAGAGAACTTATTCTTAACCTTGTTCTTGTTTACTCAAGAGAAACTAATCAAAACCAGAGGCCAAAGCCATATCTATTTAAAAACACATTTATTTTGCTGCGTCTGGGTTTGCACGAATCAGACTGGAGGCAGACACGGTTGTTTGTGGGAATCCAGCGCTTCTCCTTCCACGTTGGGGGCACCAGGCCACCGCGTGGCTTATGGGCTTGGGGCCAAGCCTGTGATGCCACACCACCTGGTGCCACCCTGGATTAGCCAGGCAAGTTTAGGAAACTCTATTTAGTGAACCCCTTGCGCCCCCCCCCCAAAGCAGGATAACCCGAGAGACAAGAGCAGCCCACTGGACGTATTTCGTACTGATGCGATGTCATCCCAGTCTCAAATGTGAACGTATAAATAAAAATAAAACCCCAAAATATTGCAGCATTCTCTCATTTGGACTACAACCGCCATCATCCCCAGCCACCCCGCTCGCCAAAGCTCCTCACAGCTTTCCAGACGTGTTGGACTACATTGCCCTCATACCCAGCCGGCCCTGCTCCTCGAGCCTTCCAGATGTATTGGACTACAACCGCCCTCATCCCCAGCCGGAGCGCTGCTGAGGATTACTATCCCAAAATCCCACGCGCGGCCAGGTCCTCCCCGTTTTGCAGCCTGGCTCGGCCTGTCCCGCCAGCCTGCCCATACTGGACTTCAGTCCCCATGATCCCCAGCCTCGGGAGTTATGGGAGTTGGAGTCCGACTTCAGGCTGCGGAAGGGAGGCGGCGCCTTCGCCCTTGCCTTTGAGGCCTTCGTC